TTTGTAGAGGGAAGATGCCAAAAATGAGGACGCATTTTATAAATTGTGTCTTTTGCTACTTTTACAGTCACTTCCACAATTCTGGAATTAATTGTGATTTTATTTTTTAATGCAGAAAGACAAATCTTAATTTGTAACAGGGCAGTACAGCTCATGACTCAGGAATCACTTCATCATGACTATAAATATTCAGCCCTGAAACAAACAGCCCGTGTTCCTTTTCATGTACTTGAATGGCCAGTGCCAGCTTCATAGGAGAAATGCTATCAGATCTTTATTTGGATTATTTTTACCCTCAAATATCTTGTAGGATGGGGATTTTTAAATTAATTTAAGAGAACAACGCTGTGCATCATGCTTTTAGAGAAATGGTTTTCAGTAATTCATGAAGATTTTCTGTATAAGAGTGGTTGAAAATAAGTTTTTAAAGTTTCATATTAATATATTAAAGGGAACATAATAGAACTGTGAGATGAGAAATCCTCAGATGGTCCAAGACCAGGCTTTGACTGTCTCTTTTGTGTAGCCAGCCTGGCACACCTCACTCCAGCAACCTTGAGGTTCAGACATGGTCAGGATCTTTGATTCTCTTGCAAGAAAATGAAAAAGCTTAATCCTTTCCTGTGCCTTTTGGCATACTAAAAACCATAGTAAATCTTCCTGCAGCGACAACCACAACAACAATGCTGCATGTAGAATTTCCGGTGGGAGAAAAAAAAAAAGAAATGGTTCAAGAACTTCCCTCTCTGACAAAGTTATGCTGCCATTTATTGTTCGTACTCAAACTCATGTGTGATTTGCATCAAAGATTTTGGGGTGTACTTTTCTTTGTTTGCAAATAAGATGTGACTTCAGATAAATATGTCTTGTAGTTCTGTAGACATCCCCAGACTCCTGACAGGGAATGAGTGCATTCCTTATAGGCCTATAAATCCTGGAAGCTGTGTAGATGGTAGGAAATCCACTGGAAATCAGGACTGTTGTAAATCCTTAGTTTCTCAATTTGTCTGTCAGGCAAAGTGCCACCAGTGTCAGCAATTGCCAAGGTCTCTGCAGCAGCTGCATTCCCAACACAAAAGATGCAAAAATTAGTCTTTCCCCCCTCTTTTCCCCCATCTCCCTGATGACAAGGTTGCTATTTTAGAAATGAATCCTTTCGGCTCTTTTATTTGCCTTCTGTTTTTTGAAGAGGAAGATCTGCTTTCTTCCTGTTTTAAAGCAATGATTAGGGTTAAGAAGTTGCTTTTTTCAATAGTTTTCACGTGTTCAGTTGAACCTACACAACTCTCAGTAATACCTGTTCTCTCCTTTTTAGGTAACCACCCCACTACATTGTTTTGTGGGTGGTCACCTGAGGGACTTCTGCTTCTGACTCCCCAGAAAATGAAAGGGAAAAATAACATACTGTCCTTCTGTCCATGGCAAAAAGCCCCAAAGAACATGAAAGTTTGTGGAAATGCAGATAAGCTGGCTAAAAATAGAGTTTGCTGAATACCATAAATTGCTTTTGGTTTTGGCAGCAGATACACCAGACTTCTGGTATCGGTTACACTCCTCTTACACAAGTTGTTGTTAGGGCTTTTATTTAGGATGCTAAAGATGGTGCCCTGGTTTCTTCCCTGCCTGTGGGTTTCCTGCTGGTACCTACTGGTAAGAGTCTCAGCTTGCAAATTACTGAGGTTCTGGTTTCTAGCCATTGGTTATTGAATTACTTAGAATAAATCAGAAACATTTTAAGAGACAAATCTAAAGTATCCCTCCTTTGGGAAAAGGATAGATACAGTAATATTGTAGGAAGAGGAAATACAGGGTAGGATGCCTTGGAAGTGATGAAGAAATTGTCTTAATATCTTCCAAAGCCCAGAAGAGCTCAGATGTCTGAGCTACATTGTTATCAGGTGAATTAAATAGAAGTAGTGTACACTTACATATGCTGTAAAATATGACACTTAATACTCTGCATGCCTGGAAGTCTGAGGGCTAGCCCCACCTAGTCTGCTTTCAGATGGATTGTGTTTCACTTAGATTTTATTGGTCATTGCTGACATGGTCAGTTCTGCCAGAAAAGACAGAGGTCCTGATGTACAGTAACATAAAAATTGGAACATAATTCAGTCAAGACACAAGAGATTTGACAGTAATTGTTACAGTTCTTTCCGCTTTAGTTTGTTGTGCAAAGAGTTAAATAGTTCAAAGGCAGTTTCCTTTGGAGAATGTTTATTTGATCAAGTTCAGTGTGGCTTAGACCCCAAATAGAAATACCAACTTCAAACAGAGCACTGGTATGAGAGAAGGAATAGTCTGTGGCCTTCCAGACCTCACAAGCTCTGTTTGTTAGACAGAGTCAAAACAAAGATGTCCCTTAGAACAGATATACATTAACTCAGTGTATTTCACACACCACATCCTTAATCTCCCATCTACTTCTCTCCCTGGTCCTTTGGGCTGTGACAAGGTCACTGAGATCCTGGATGAACTACAGTCTCCTCAGTGAAAAGCACATATGGTGTGATTGGGCCATCCAAGCTACTTAGATTGTTAGAGAACGTTAGAGGAGCTACTGCTTCTGTTTACTAATTCTGAAGTAATACATCCTTTGGATTTTGGAACAGTGCTTATCTTTGCTTCTTGGTTCCCTTTACATTGCAGGAAGCAGGGTGAGGAAGAGCCCAGTGGCTGCTTCTCTTAGATGGAGCCTGGAAGATCTTGTGGGCTGAGGCATGTTGTTGTTTTGTTCCTTCAGCTCCTTAGCTGGCTGAATCTTCAGACTTCTAATAAATGCACTAAGCATTGAAAAAGCATTATTAATGCATGATGAGCTACACCGAGTTCAGGCAGTGAACGTAAGAGTGGAACCCATGCAGACGCTGTTAGCGCAGGAACCTGGTATGGGGCCAAATCTGGAGAGCCATCTTTGATCTGTCTCCAGATCCTGCTTTTATTTGTAAACATCCAGCTAATCACAGACTTCCTCTGACTTTGATGGAGTGGAAGGAGCCGCATCCCCTGTGAGCGCTGGGACGGGCTGGAGTTGTGCGGAGGCTCAGGGCGCGGGCTGGGGGTTCCGGCGCCATCTCGTGGCTGGCTGGGAACGCGCGTGTCCCTATTCCCAGGCTGGAATTTTGCTGGGAGCAGGGCGCAGCGGCTCCTCCCGCGGCTCTGCATCCCCACACAGCTTCTGTGCTTAGGGCAGCCGGGCTGTTTTAGTCTGCGAGGAGGGCACCGCGTTTTATCTCTGATCTCCCTTCCTGTGGGTTACAGGCTCCGTGTGTGCTGCACCCCACCCCAGCACAGTTGGCACTGATTAGCAGTGCTGCTGCTGGCTCATCGGAAAAATGTGATTTAATATTCACAGGCAGCCCACCTGCCCGCACTCAGAGGTGGTCCCACACAGCGCAGCCGATGTGTTTCAGGGAGGTGGTGGAATGAAGCTCAGTGGTGTGTGTGAGTTGTCCATGATTTGGAAATGACAGAGATTTTGGACTGCGAAGTGCAGGCCGGCATGGTAATGAATAGCAATGGCAAACACTGATATCACCTGGGGAAAAACAGTGCTCACATGCATACTGTACTTAGAACACCTTTTTTTCCCTCCTTTGTTAGCTTACAAAAAAAAAAAAAAAAAAAAAAAAAAAAGTACTTCCTGACTTCTGAGCTAGTCATGTAAGAGTTACTTTGCAATAACAGCACCAGTGCAGTGAATTCTCCTCCAAGATTTTAAGAATGTGGTAGGTAGACATATGGCCTTGCTGCCAGAACCAGCAGTACTTTGAAGGTAGAAGTTACCCAAGATGTGTTTCCCCTGTTCACATTGCCCTCGTGGCACAGAACAAAAGCCTTTTGTCCCAGCTGGCACTTTTGTCCACCTTAAGTATGTGACATGGCACAGAGGCAGATAAAATACCAGACAAGCCTGGCCTGGCACACGCAGTGAGTGAGGGCTGGCCACGGTGCACACCGAGGTGTGGAGCATCACTCGAGGCTTTCCTCTCGAAGGTGTGCCAGGAAATGCAGCCCTCAGCTGGCCTTGAGGATGCTTTGGCAGGTAAGTAATGCAAAGAGCTGCTAAACCTGGCTTCATGTGCAGCCTCTGCAGTGTAGACACGACCACTTGGGCCAGGGCTGCCACAGTCTCATAGAAACACCAAGTTTAAATTATTCAGAAGTGGCACAATCATATACTTTATACAATATGATTCACGTATACAGAGAAAGAAGTCAGTGTGCAAAAAAAAAAAAATATCCCAAACAACCCTGAGGATTGTCCTCAAAAGTTACAACCATGCATTGTCAGTTTCTTGATTGTTCTTCTCTGACACAAATCTGCTCATATTTGTAATGAACTAGTGTGGTTGAAAGAGACTTCCAGAAATTGTAAATATTTATATAATTTATCTGCACTTAAAATAAGAATTTGGTGTGTGTGTGGGGGTGTGTGGGTGGAGTAAATACATAACAGTTGCCTCTGAGTTAGGTAAAATAAAAAAAAAAAAAACACAACCAAAAGTACAGTCAAATATGAAGCAGTAAGAAGTATTCCAGAGTGGGGGTGTTCCATACTATGAGTGGCTGAGGGGAAATAATACTTTTGCAATTTTTTGAGAATCCACTAAGCCAAGCCATAAACCATTGCTGGAAAGTAACACATACAGTATGAAAAATTACTTCTGGGAGATTTGGGAAATGAAAGTTTTTCTTCAGCAAATCTGTAGCTGTTTTGAAAACAGAAGGCAAAGGAAAACAAGGCAAAAGTTTCTGAAACAAGATGACAGCATTGTTCAAGGTTGTGTTCTGGTGGGGTAGGGGTTGAAGGAAGTGTATGGCTTTTTAGAAGAGTTTCTGACTGTGGTGGGTGCTCTGAATATAACTGAAAGATGGGTATTTAGAGCAAAACCACACATGGTGAGGTGGGAGGGACCACATCATGCTAGCAAATACAGTACTGCAGTGTGGGCTTCTGACTTTTAATATTTTTCTTGCATTTCTTTTCTGCATGGCAGTAGTGAAATAGGGACTTCTAAGCTTCTGAACAACTGAGAGAACCAGATTTGGAGAAGACATGAGGAAGAACTGGTCGGCAAAAGATTTCATAAAAACTCAGAACCTCGTGTGCCAGATCTGAATTGGCACCACCTTTGCTTTTTTGACATACTGCAGCATTCGCAAAAGGCACCAAAGCAGTCAAATTATAACATGCAGTAAAAGTTGTTTTGGACTCTTCTATGTATCATAAATCTTACTTCCTTGTGACTATTACTTACAGCTGTGCAAAATTAATTTGAAGTCTTTCATGGAGCAGACAGCCAAAAGAGGCAGATGCCAGGTGTTAAGGGCTGCACTGAAATGAATTTGCAAAATTTCTATTCACACGCTGGAGTGCTCCTTTTCTGAAATGCGGCTTCTTAGAGTTGCTGTCAAAAACTGTGTAGATTTTTTAGTTTAAACATTACAAGTATATACTCATGCACAATGCTTAACTACCAAGTGTTAAAAAAGAAAGAAAAAAAAAAAGAGTAAGAAGTGAAAAAAAATCTTAAAAACTGAGGACAGAGGGTCCCTGAGAAAGGACAGGATGATGTGAGAGATCCAGCTACATGATTTCCCCTGCTGCCATGATCATCATTTGCAAGCTGAAGAGGACCTTCCATGGAGCACAATGCTTGTATGTGGAGAGTAAAGAAATGGTGCTCTGGTCTTTTAAAAAGAATGGTGAAAATTTTTTACCAACAAGGAGATGAGTAAATGTAAAATAATCTTCACAGGGCTCAGGGTACACTTTGTTCTGGAGCTAAACCTTGCAAAAGCTGGCTCGAAGAAGAGAACCAGATGTTCATGTTCATATTTGAACATTTTAGGAATAGTAATGTTTCCAGCTAAATTAATGGGGGAGGGAAAAACCCTAACTAAAAAAGCAATAAGGCAGTAAATGTTCCAAATTAGGGCAAGCATGAATTATAAAAATATAAATTTCTTTTGCTTCCCTCAGACAGGGAATCAAATTAAGACATGTAAGCAGACTAAACATGCTGATTATCTTCTGCTGTAGTTACGTATCTTACTAATTCTACTCATGATTATAAAAGGATGTTTCATTGTTCACTATAACTGTTATCTCAAGAATAGTCTGTCTATAATTTTATTTATAATTGGCATAATTTTCATTACTGTTGTTACAAAGTGTGTAAAATATTGTCTGTATTGCAGCTTGTATAGGGCATGTGTCTGTGCTTGCTTTACTCTTTTTGAGTTTATAAAGTTACTATACGAATGCAAGAAAAGATGTTCAGATATCTTTGAATGTGGTTGCTTAATCTAATTACGTAGCCCCCAATGTTTCAGCATATAGCTGTTGAAGGTATCAGCTCTATTAACACATAACACCTTAAACATGAATGTAGGTATTTTAAAAGCCTCCAGTGCAGCACTGGAATGCTGACACTTCAGTCCCAGTGGCTGTATGGAGTAAAGGGGAGGATGGTGAATATCTGGGCAAAGCCAGATACCACTGGGGACTCTGCAGGAGAAGGCACAAGACATCTAAGAGCAAATGGGATGTGCTTTCTATAGAAATCATGAAGGACCTTAAGAGCAGGACCACCAAAAAGCAGAGGAGAGAAGGGAATACATTTATAGCATCGCCTTCAACAGTATAGAAAGTGTAGGACATTAGAACAGGCTGTGACTGTTCTGTAGCTTAGCAATTACTTCCAGTCTATGTAGAGTATCAGTAAAGACATTCCAGGTTAGTTATCATAATCTTTAAAGCTTATTCTGTGCTTTGCAACAGTATCTTTAATAAAATACTCTTACAAATTCTGCTTATTATTCTGATTTAATTCCATTTTACACCTGAGTTGATAACAGTCCTGGCAACAGGGTGAAGGTACCACCTGCTTCATCAGGGCCTGTGTTTTTCCCATTCACCTGCTAATGACAAGAGGGAAAACAGAGATGAATAATTATCAAATAGTCATAGAAATGAGAAAACGAGGAATTCAAATCATGCTACCATTCAATTATTATAAAAATTGTTCACACTAAGCATATCAGTAAATCTGAGAGATTAATCACTTACTGATCTCTGAGTAAGAAGTATTGGTCTTTGCCTGTGTTTACAGTACACCATTTATCTTGTTTAAGGCTTAGCATAATTTTCCAGCTTTACAGTTACTGTCAATAATTGCAGTATATTGTTTAAACCCATCACAGCAGTTCTAGATAAAATTTTCTGTTTTCATTTATTTACCCCCTGAACCATATAGAGTATCCTTTTAATATCTTCAAACAAGACTGAGCACGTACATTAACAGATAAGAGTAGAATTCAGAATAATCCTGGCAAGGTACAGATGGGATCTGAAAAGATACTTAATAGGAACAAGTGCAAGATGGAACCATTAGCTATGCAAGTAAAGGAACAGCTGCTGAATTTCATAGAATCCTAGAATGGTTTGGGTTGGAAGGGACCTTAAGGACCATCTCATTCCAGTGCCCCTGCCATGGGGCACCAGACCAAGTTGCTCAAAGCCCCATCCAGCCTGTCCTTGAACACTCCCAGGGATGCAGCAGCCACAGCTGCTCTGGGAAACCTGTGCCAGGGCCTCAGTCATCCTCACAGTAAAGGATTTCTTCCTTATATCTAAACTAAATTGAATCTTCCAGTTTAAATTGAAAAGAATCGATGCATTATTTTGGATCATATTCTGAAAATGAATCTGCAACACCATGATGTTGCAAATAAAGGTGAAAACTGAAATGTACAAACTGGAGTATCATTTGCTCCTTCAGAACCGCCAAGGCAAGAGCTGGTAACATTTCCAGTTTTGAGCATAGCACTTGAAAACTAAGAGACAAGTTGTGTGCAGAGAATCCAGGAGAAAGCAGTGAGTGTCTGGAAACCAAGAAGACTTTGCTTCTGAGTACAGGCTGAGTAATTTTAAGTCATTTTACAGAAGAGTTGGTGGAGGGAAAACACAATGATTTTCATATATAAAATCTGGTTGCAAAGAAAAGTGGCACAACTGTTTCTCATATCCAAAGTCAATATGAATAAAAATAATTGCCTTAAATTGCAAGAAAGGAAATTTTGGTTAAACACAAAATGGGACTAAATGACCTGTTGAGGTCCTTTTCTCATCTGATTCTGTGATTGCTGGAAATTGTTGTGCTTTAAAGTCACTTGCTGTCAGTAGAGCTGGTAGTGCCTGCAAGAAAAGGAGGCTGCAGTTAAAAGGAATAAAGAACTCACTGCCTAAAATGCACAGCACACCAGTTTATCTAGTTAGCACTAGTGATACTAACTTCAGCTTTTAATCATACCTTAGCAAACTGTCAGAAGTCTATGCAAATAAATGTGCTTAAAAACCACTTAATTATAAAATAATTATTCCTTGAAGCATCAAGCATTAGTTTAATCAGTGTTGACAACTTCCATGATTTTATTGATTCTAATCAATCTGAGGCAGCTTGATTTCAGTTGAGATGGTATAATGAACTATTTTATTTATTAAAAAAAATTAGACCTGCAAATTACGTGGAAAATCCTAAAAGTGTAATCTGAACATATGGTAAAAATGAAAAAGCCAGAAGGTAAATAAAGTCAATAGGTTTATAATTTTAGGAGATCTGCCTAACGAGTTTTGAACTCCTGGTTTGGCAGTATGAAATTACAGTGCCCTATATTCTGCTGTTCTGACTATTTCCATAGTACTGATCATGCATTTGTGTAATTTGCCAAAAAACATGTTATAAATTTGCAGAACTTTCTTTGTTAGTCACAAAAACAAAAGAGCACTTATATAAGTAAGATGATGTCTTGTGGCTGCCCTTTAAATTAACAAGGAGCAGCTGTGCACAAAACTTGGCGGTATATAAATACAGAGTAAGTTATGTAGTTCCCCCCACATACACTATGATTTTTAATGCAACACCTTGTTAGAAGAATCTTGCCATTTTATATGCTGGTAGTTCTTGTCTGAATTCCAAGAACCAGACATACGTTCACAAATATAAACAAGATGAAGAATTTTAAGGTATTGTGACAAAGTATTACTAGATCTTAGAATAGCAGTTGCTTAGACTTTTCTGAATTGATTGCTGTAGTATGAAATAATCCATTTTCACCAGTACAGTCTGATCTATGCAATTTTGGGGATAGTTTTACAAGGGAAATGGGTACCACAATTTAAGGTCTTCTGAGTGCCAAACCTGAAAAAAATCATTCATTGCATTTCCAAGTGGCTGATGTCTGATTGAGCTGTAACTTGGGCTCAAGTCCTATTTTTATACTCTATTGCCTTATGAAACAAGTAGGGGGTGGGGGGGAAAAATTTTCCTTTTATCAAGATAAAGATAAGGGTTGAATTCCCAATTCTGCTCCAGATACTGAGCTGTTGCTTCACTGAAGAAAATGAAATATCATCTTCATTTCTGGCTGGGTGGTGTAATGGAGAATAGCCTACAGCATATTATGTAACACTGCTGAACAGGAAACATGGGTGCATAATCAATCCTAAACACAAATAAATGGATCAGAAAGAGGCCTGCCACTGCCAGAGGTACCAAATTGCTGCTCTGGGAGTTGCTGTGAAAATATGGTTTAGAGATTCAGGATGAGGGAATAGCAGCAAATGTTTTGTTAAAGGGAAAATCAGACTTGTGCTGAAGTCCTCCCCATAAAGCTCACTCTTTAATTTCTGAACCAGTTGGTTTGGCTCACCTGTACCATGATTGCATATGAAGCAACATAAAAGGGAACCATGTGGCTCTTCCCATATGAGAGGATGACTACATGGATGAGTTGGTTCACAAACTGCTGACAAAAAGCAGGTTGGTAATAGCTCTGCTGAGAAGAGAGAATACGTCTAATGAGGTTTTAGAGGTTGCTCCCTCTCGTTAGACTGGACTTTCTCTAAGGACATCAGTAAGAGGTGATGGCAAGAACGTCCTGTGAACTTCTGACTGAATAGGAATGAAAGTTAAAAAGCAGCTGGGACCTAGACATACCATTGTACAGAAGAAAACAGCACCTGTGTGCCCAGCTGGAAAAGAAATACTTCTGCAATAGGCTAAACAGCCTCAGCCCAGAGAGCTTTGGATTTTTCCTTAGGATGTCTCTTTACACCAGTAGCATTAAAATGGTGTGCTCATGTGTTCCTCTGAGATCTTTTCTCCAGATTTACTACAGCAAAACAGCTCCAATGATGAAATAAACAGGACTGAGAGAGTACTGTCAGGGTGAGCAGTAATCCAGTCAATGCAAACACCTCTTTAGCAGGTTACCAGCACGTGTGGGTGTCAGCACAAACATATCAGGGCCACACTAGTTAGTGGGCCAAGGAAACCCTAAAAAAATTTTGTCTGGGGCTGTTGTATATATTTTGTGCCTGGGCTGATAAAACATATAGTTAAAAGCTTTGGGCCAAATAAATGAAATGTCACTTCTAAATTGGATAAACCTTGTTTGATTACAGTTATAGTTAAATGAGACATCAGATTAATTTTGCTGCAAATACTGTTTATTGTGTTAATCAATATTGTGTTATTTCCTACTCCACTTGTTCTCTCCATCTACAGCTTCTATAAATATGTTTTTGAGGCAGGAGTCTTCTTTTTACTCCGGAATAACAGGGTCTGAGTTTGTACTGCAGCTATTAAAACAGGCTTCTTGTGCATTATTAGTGCTCCTAAGGGACAGTCCTCACAAGGATACAAATAATAAACAACATCAACTTTTCGGCTGAAACAGAATTTATTATCCACCTCTCTTTGTATTGCTCTGGCATTTCTCCCTGTCCCACATAATACAATCAACTGAATGAAGTGGCAGTGAATTACAGGAAGAGATGGTTCAGTGGTGAATCAGTCACTGGTCTAACTACAAGAGAAACTGACACCCTTCCCATCAAAGAAATATGCACACAGGATATACAGAGCAGCTCCTGTAGGCAGAGACAGCTGATGGTTCCCATTTTCCAGTGACTTCTTTTGGATTGCTCCAAGGTCAGAACCCATGTGGAAAAAAAGAAAAACAAAACAAGATCCATGTAAGACTTATAGTTATTTAAGCATGTTCAATATGTATGGTCAGAAATCCAGGCTCTTCCATCACAAAACTACACACATAATGCACAGAAGAGGTGGAGTTCTCATGTCTTGTAAAAAAGGCTTTGAAAAATATACTAATGGAAACAAGGATGTTTTTGAACAGGAGTTACAGTGCCTATAATAATTGTGTGAATACAAATCACTCTGGGAAAAGCTGTAACACGTTTTCTATGAGGGCAGGTACAGCAAACTGCTGAAGGCTGGGGACAAAACCAATGAAAGAGAATTTAAGTATACAGTGACATTAATCCTTCTCTCACACAACCCCTGAAGTCCATGGATAGCAAACTTTTAGCAACACTTTTAAAGGAGCTGAAAAGGAGCTACTCACTAAAACTCCTTGTATTAAAAAA